CGCGAAGGCTGCGTCCTGCTGCGGCGGCGGCGGCGGCGCAAGTGGCGGCTGCCAAGGCGGCGGAAGCGCGTCGCCACCGCCGCCGACGTCGACCGTCGGCCGTCGCCGCCCCGCGGCGGCGCCTGGGCCCACGGCGGGGGGTCTTTCGGCGGGGGCGCCCACTGCGCCGCCGCCACGGGCTTGCCCCCGTAGGTCGCACCCTTGGCGGCCGGAGCGCCTCGGGCAGCAGCCGTCAGAGCCGCTGCCGCCTCCGCAGCCGCCGCCGATGCCGTTCCTGCTCTTGTTCTTGCTCTTGCTTTTGCTCTTGCTCTTGCTCTTGCTCCTCGTCCTCAGCCAGCATCATCATCATCATCATCAGCAGCATCATCATCATCATCATCATCATCATCATCATCATCATCATCATCATCATCATCATCATCATCATCATCATCATCATCATCATCATCATCATCATCATCATCATCATCATCATCATCATCATCATCATCATCATCATCATCATCCTCATCATCATCATCATCATCATCATCATCATCATCGCATCATCATCATCATCATCATCATCATCATCATCATCATCATCATCATCACCACCACCCACCACCACCATCATCTCATCCATCATCATCATCATCACCAACACCACCACGACCACCTCCTCCTCCTCTTCCTCCTCCTCATCGTCCTGTTCCACCGTTCCCTCCTCCCTCCTCCTCCACCTCAGCCTCCTCCTCCTCCTCCGCCTCCTCCTCCTCCTCTTCCTCCTCCCCCTCCTCCTCCTCCTCCTCCTCCTCCTCCTCCTCTTCCTCCTCTCCATCCTTCTCCTCCTACTCCTCCTCCTCTTCCTCCTCCTCCCCTTCCTTGTCCTCCTCATCCTCCTCCTCATCCTCCTCCTCCTCATCCTCCTGTTCCACCGTTCCCTCCTCTTCCTCCTTCTCCTTCTCCTCCGCCTCCTCCGCCTCCTTCTCCTGTTCTTCCTCCTCCTCCTCCTCGTTTTCCTCCTCTTCTTCCTCCTCATCCTCGTCCTCCTCGTCCTCCTCTTTTTCTTATGCTTCCCATTTTATTATTATTACCATTATTATTATTAGTATTATTATTAGTATTATTATTATTATTAATATTATTATTATTATTGTCATATTATTTGTATTATTATTACGATTATTATTACTACTATTATTATTAGTATTAGTATTATTCGTATTACTCTTACTATTATTATTAATATTACTAGTATTATTGTTATTGTTATTATTATTATTAGTATTATCACTATTATTACTATTATTATGATTATTATCATTAACAGTATCATCATTAGTATTATTAGTAGTAGTATTGTTATTATTGTTAGTGTTATTGTTATTGTTATTGTTATTGTTAGTGTTATTGTTATTGTTATGATTATTATTATTACGAATACTATTACTACTACTACTATTTTTATTATTATCATAATGAGTAGTGTCATTATTGTTATCAAAAAAAGATATAATTATGATCAGTATTTATAGTACTACTAGTATTATTATTATGATTATTATTCATAGTAGTAGTAGTATGAATAATAAGGATAGTAGTAGTAGTAGTAGTAGAAGAAGTAGTAGTAGTAGTAGAAGTAGTAGTAGTAGTAGTAGGAGTAGTAGCAGTAGTAGTATTAGCCGCATTCGTATTATTATAACTAGTACCTTATTCTTGATACTAGTATGTTTGTAATTGGTTGTAGTAATGTTATTATTAGTAGTCGTATTATTATTATTATTACTATGAGTAATGATATTAGTATCATCATTATTCGTAGTATTATTGGTAGTATTATTAGTACGTGATACTATTATGATGTATTATGAATGAAATTGTAATGATTGCCATTAGCATTAGTATCAGTATTACTATTAGTTTAAGTAAGATTGCCAACATTATGACCAGTACCAGTATTACGTTTTATTGTTTTTATTAGTTGTGTTATTCGTATCATAAGTGTTCTGTGTATCAGTATTCGTCTTAGTACTATTACCCGTCCTCTTCGTATTAGTCTTATTCGTGGTATTGTTATTAATATTCGTATTATTAGTAGTAATGTTGTATTATTACTAATGGTGTTACTAGCATTGTTATTGTGCTTACGCTTCTCAATATTCATTGGTAGTATGATCAGTATGTCTAGTATGACTGTTATGACTATTAATATTACCAGTAATTATAATAATAATATTATTATTCGTCTTCTTCTTACTAGTATTAGTAATAATCTTCGTCTTATTACCATTATTAATATGATTCGTGCTATTCTTCGTACGAGTATTCTTCATATTTTGATGATTCGTATTATTAGTATCAGTATCAGTGTTATTTTTAGTGTTATTGGAATCACTATTAATGGTATCACAATTACTACTATTCCTATTATTCCTATTATTCCTCTTCCTCCTCCTCCTCATCATCATGTTCCTCCTCCGCCTCCTCGTGTTGCCCCTCCTCTTTTTCCTCCTCCTCC